GCTCGTGATCGTTACTACCCGTGGTCTACTACTCGGTCGTTTATTACGTAATAAAAATAAAAAAAACCAATAAGTAATTAAAAATAAATTTCACGATGGATACTCGTTCGGAGATGAGATGGTAGTAAAGGAAAAGTGATATAAATCACGTGATCACTTATGAAAACTTAACGAAAATCGACGGAAATTTATTACTATTACTATTACCCCTATTACCACTATTACCACTTTCCTGTAGGGGTGAGAAAACGGATCAAAGGGGGAAGTTTACAGACCATACTTTGATAGGAAGCATTTTGCAAGCGACGATATTGTTTTCAATGAAATTATTATTATTATTATTACTATTCAGAGATTTTTATTACGTGGTAATAAAATAAAATTGAAAAGAAAAAAAAGAGGATAAAAGACAAATCAAAGTAAGAAAATCAAATCACCAAACGAAAGACTAAATAAGGGAAAGAAAAAAAGAAAGAAAGAAAAAAAAACTCGGGATTAAAAACGGATTAAGAAACGGATTAAGAATCGGATTATAAAAAAAAAGGGGCGGAAAAAAAATTTTTTTTTCATTTCGGATTAGTATTAAGAAGTGATGGAGATTTTTTTTTTTTTTTGTGGTTTATTCATTCGGAAAACGACCCGAATGTGTACCAAAAAAACTATCGAATTTTTTCGAATGTTGGTAGTAATGGTGGTGGTGGTAGTGGTAGTGGTCGTGGCAGTAGAAGAGAGAAAAAAAATATCAAAATCGATTACTTAATTAATGGTACGCCAAAAAAAAAAAAAAATAAGAAAAATTTCGAAATCAAGGAAATTTAAACGAAGTGCAAGGACGTGTCACGGATCGATTTTCAACTCGGTTTTTTTTTTGATGATTTTTACACGAATGAGTGTTTCTCTTTGTGACGACTTTCTAAAACCACGACGACTACAACGACGATAGAAGACGAATAGACAGAATAAATAAATAAAAAAACTAAATTATTTATTACAACTCCGAAGTTTTTTTTTTTTTTTGTTATAACGTTATTATTATTTAAAAATTTAGCAATTTTGTGGTTTTTTTTATTTTATTTTATTAAAAAAAAAAAAGTTAATTGAAGATTTGAAACAACTTTTTAAAAAAAAAAAAAAATTTCTAAGAAGTTTTCACTTGGAATTTTTTATTTTTTTTTTTTTTTTAGTATTCGTAAATAATTTTGTGTTGTGTAATCCTAAGAAATCGGTACGATTTACAAACACTCGTTTACTCGTTTTTTTTCCTAAATGGAAGAAGTAGTAAAAAAAAAAAAAATCGGACAGTATAGAAATGAAGAAGTAGATTGTGAATAAATAGTATAAATTAATGTTTTTATTATTATTATTATTAAATAACCACGAACGATTTTATTTATTATTATTATCTAACGCCACGATCGAATTTTTTTTCTTAATTTGAAAACGAAACGAAAACTCGCGGTCGTGTGTCGTCGTCGTCGTCATTCCTAATTTAAAAATTAGAATTAAACAAATGAGGAAAAAGTTATTGTGAAATTTTGAAATTGCGTATTTCCGGAAATGGGGAAATTTTTAATATTGAAAAAGGTTGGCAGCAAAAAGGCGGGGAAATTTAAATAATTTTGTTTTGTTTTTTTTGATTGAGTATTTAGGAGGGGCGAGAGGAGAGGATTTCGTTAAAATGAGTTTAGTGGAGTTAATTGAAATTTGATGAATGGAAAAAAATGAAAAGGTGGAGAGAAAAAGACAAAAAGAGGAAGAGAGTGAGAAAGAAAAGCAAATTGAGAGAGGTAGAAAGAGGAAAAAAAACAAATCGAGAGAGAGAGAAAGAGAGAGAGAGGCGTAAAGAATGGTTGAAAGAGGAATAAAGAAAAACAGTCGGGGAAAAAGAAAGAAAAACAAAAAGGGAATGAGAGAGGGAGAGAGAGAGGGAGAGAGAGAGAGAGAGAGAAAGAGTAAGCGAGTAAATTACAAAATTATATTAAATAACAGCTTAATATAAAGAAAGTAAAAAAAAAATGAATCCTTTCAACCAGTGAGAGTAAATTCTTGTTCTCTCTCTCTCTCTCTCTCTCTCTCTTAAGGTAATTAAATACAACTTTTGCAATGAATGTACTTATCAAGGAGGCAGGCAGGTAGGCAGGAAAAAAGCCCCAAGGGTAAAAAAATTTTTTTTTTTTTTCAAGTCATAAACGATGTAGATAACTAAGTCAGTATGTAAAAGATAAAATAATAATAATAATAAAAAAAAAACCGGTTAAAGCGCTTTTCTCTCTCTCTCTCTCTCTTCGCAAAGGTACGTTGACCGTACGCCATTTATTTAGGTTAATAGGTTTTGCTAACTTATGGAAAATAATAATAATGATAATAACGACGAAGACAACGAGTAAAAAAAAAAAAAAAAATAATACAGATCAACAAGGTTACACAAAAGGGCAATGTTATAAACGATGTCAGATATTATTTATACTTTGTAAGATTTGCGACCATAATAATAATAATAATAATGACAATAATGATAATAATAATAGTAATAATAATAGTAATAATAATAAAATTTCACCCGTGAAACGAGTTAGTTTAACTTTCAATAAAAATGAAAAAAAAAAAAATTAATTTAAAAAAAATGCATGCATGCATGTTTGTATCCGATTTCGTTTTGGTTGTTGTTGTTGTTGTTGTTGCTCAAGTCGTTGTTTATATATAAATAAATTTAACCTTTCCGCGTACAAGAGAGTATATCATTCAATCAAAGACTTTTTTTTTTTTTTTTAACTTCCTTGTTAGAAAGTGACCAGTGGAAAATTAAATAAAAAATATAAAAAAAACCGACCCAACGGATCGTTTGTACATCGATCGTCGCTCACACTTTCATCTCGACTTGAAAACATTTTAAATAATAATAATAATAATAATAATAATAATAACACGTGACATTGAAAAAAAAGAAAAAGAAGAAGTTGGAAAAAAAAGTGCAATATCGATATTTATACGTGCGTCTACTCGAAGAAATAATAATTGGGAGGATACTACGGTGATGACGTTTTTTTTTGACGAGGTCGAAGGTGAAAACGAGCGAGGGAGGGGAGGAGGGAGGATGACGAGGAAACGACCTTTCTAGAATAAAATACGTTAAAGGTCAGGAATTATTTGACCGACCGGAAAAAAAAAAAAAATCAATCAGTCACCTTGACCCCGACTTAGCAATCATTTTTAAGGATGATGATGATAAATGCAAAAATCATTTCATCTTCTTCTTCTTATTATTATTTTCCGAAGACAAAATGTCGGAAAACGGAAACGGAAACGGTAAAAACCGGGACGCGACAATTTAATAATTAAATTAATAAAAAAAAAACTTTTTTATTTGTTTACCAAACGTTAAAACTTAAAAAAAAAAAAAAACTAGAAGTTGTTTGTTCGTTCGTTGGTTTGTTTGTTTGTTTATTCGATCGATTGCAACTTTTTTTTAAAAAAAAAATATTTTTTCCAAAAAAAAAAAAAAAGTTAAAAACGCATTCAAGGACGTGAATCAAGTGAAATTCAAAACAAACAACAAGAACAACAACAAACGTTTTAAACAACGTACGTTCCGTTTGTTTCCTCACATCCTCGATTATTTAATTTAATTTAATTTTTTTTTTTTTCTTCTTTTCTTCCTCTTCTCGTCGATCGACTTCCTGTAAAAACGCGTTTTGTTATTATTATTATTATATTATCATCATCATCATCATCATTGTTGTCGTCCTAGTCGTCTGCTTCTACTTCCTATTTTCTTTTCTTTATCCGTTTTTTTTTTATTATAAATTTATTGTTAACGAATTATTATTATTATTATTTTAACTTTCGTACGTCATAATAACTCTGCGTATTGTTGTTGTTGTTGTTCACGTAGATAATAATAATTTCATAAATTATAATATTTTTATGAATAGATAATAGAATGACCGATAACATTAACCGATTATTATTCACGATATACTATTATTACGTAAAAAAAAAAAAAAATTAAGAAAAATTTTTTTTCGATGCAATTAATTTAATCGTGTACGGTTTATTATTATTATTATTATTATATTATTTATTTAAAAACAAAAACAACAAAATGCAAAAATATGCTAACATAAAATTTTCAGGTACAATAGTTTGTTTGTTTGTTTGTTAACGTTCTTGTTGTTTTTTTTTTTTTGTTGATAAGATTAAATATTAATTCTTATCTTGTTTGAGTAATTAAAAAATATAATTGTCATTTTTTTTTTTTTTTTTTTTTTTTATATTTAAACTGGAATTTTATTCGAAATAATAAGATAGAGTGAGAGAGAGAGAGAGAGAGAAAAACAAAGCCGGCAACAACGACAAACAAAAATTGTTTTACATAAAACAAAAAAAAAACCAAAAGAATTTCATCCGGTTTAGATTATCGTGTGTGTGTGTGTCAAATCAACGCTGGGTTTTTGTATTTTCCCGCCTTTTTTTAAATTTTTGTCTCGTTCGTTTCGAATTCTGGCATTTCCGGTATATGCGTTAGGGTAAAAAAAACTGTTCGCTAGGGTCATGGGGAATCCATGTTCGGCAATCGTCAAAGAACAATAAATAAACCGACGCCATTTTTATTTTTAACGTTTTTATAAATCTATATAAAATAATAATGATAATGATTCATTAAAACGCCCGGTAATGTAATTTATAAATGAATTGTTACAAAATCAAATAATAAAACCCAAATAGAAATTTTTCTCTCTCTCTTTCTATTTTTGCCAAAAAAAAAAAAAAATTAATGAACGCGATTAACAAACGTAATTACGTCATCAATTACCAAAAAAAAAAAAAATTAATTTCGAATTAAATTTGTTTATTTTTTTTTTTTTTTTGAGAGGGGGGAGGGGCCCATTTGGTACGGGGCAGTACCCCGTGACGTCCCGCAAGAGAGCGCAAGTGAAAGACGAAATCGAAATTCTTTCGGTGACAAAAAAAAAAAAAAAAAAAAAATACGTATTCGTATGTCACGACAGCAAAGGTTCGACTACGACTTTGTCTTTTTTTTTATTACTCAATTTTTTTTTCCCCAATATTTTCTTATTATACGAATCGAAATCGTCGTCGACGTTGACGTCACTTTCGTCGTCACGTTCGAGACTTGACGACGAATTGTTGTAATTTTCGATCAAAATTTTTTCCCCGGATAAAAAAGAATTCAATATGGAATTTTTAGATTGTTTCGAATTTGTCGTTTTGTCCATGTCGTTGGTTTGTTGATTTGAATTTTTCAACGCTTTGCTCAAACTGTTTTTTATCAATTTGTAAACGTTTTTTTTCTTACGGGACGACATTTTGGAATCTACGCGTTTGTACGTCGTCGAACTTCCGGGTTTTTCTTTCACTATTACTTCTCCTTCATCATCTTTTTCTTCTTCTTCTTCTTCTTCTTCTACTCCCCGTTCTTTTTTCGAATCGAAATGAGTTCGCGTTATCCAATGATCGTTAGTTTTATCCCCGGATTTGACGGAGACGACGTTTCCGGTTTTATCCGACATTTCCGGTGCCTGTATCGAATCTCTTAGTTTTTCCCAAAAATTCCACAATTTATTTGCACGGCTGTAGTCTAAACAAAAATAATAACTCAATTCCGGAGGAACGATACATTTTTCGTACAGTATCGGAATGACTTTTCTTTCTCTTATATCTACAAATGAAAAAAAGGTTTTAAGGTTTTGAATTGAAATTATGATTATTATTATTATTACTATTATTATTGTTTTTGTAATTTTTTACCTAATCCCAAAGCTTGAGCAAACGTGACGAAAAATTTATTGGCTTTGCTTTTGAGAAAATTCGGCGACACAACAACCACAAGTCTTTTACACCTTTCTGCTATTAATTTTGTTATGGCATCATGTTCGAATTGAACTCCACCAATTAAGTCTCTGTCTCTGACACATAACTAAAACGTGATGATGATGATTATGATAAATGTAAATAAATGCATAAATATTGATATTATTATTATTATTATTATCAAATACCTTTAAATTATATTTTGATTCCATTGTTTCGATAATTTCCGTTGCAAAATTTACATCTTCTTCAGCATATAATATGTAAGCATCGTAGATTTGTGGTTCCATTCCGTTTTCCAGTCTTATAACATCATCTGTCGTCAATATAACTTTATCCGATTCTAAATTGACATTTGCGACAGAGGTATTTAAACTGTTTAAGTTTTTCGCATATTCAAGGCTGTTTGACTCTAAAACAACAATCGATTTAGTCGACCTTGAATGGTTCATTCATGAAATAAATGTAATGTTTTACCTATGAATTGTTTTGCATCATCCAAAACATCGAACCTGTCGATTATTTTTAAATAATTTTGAAGAAGATTTAAATTTCCATTTTTACCCCAATGATTCAAAAGTGCTGAGAATGGATCAGGCGTGGCTTCGATCCAACCCATTTCGACTCCGTTCAAACCAATTAAATGACCCAAACCTCTCCAGTCTCTGGGTATGCCATCGTTATTGGGTATGATTTTATGTTGGTTAAGTCCAGCCGATAATATGTTTTGGGTTGTTTTTTTCAATGCTATCAATGGTATTTTTGAATAGTCTAACGTTTTCACGTCCATCACTCTGAAAAATGAATTGTTTAAATGTTTAGTCGTTAGAGTTTAATTGACCTAAGACAAAGCTTAAATTTCAATCACAGTTTTTTCAAAAATTTGTTCAATGCGTGAGATGTTTACGTTTAAAATTTAAAGAGTGCATTCAATAACCTATTAAAATCAATTATTATTTTTATGTAACATTTTATCTATTGACAAAAATAAATTGTTACATAATAATAAGATTGCACATCTCTTTGTCTCGATCGTTAATTAATTTACATATATATATATATTTATTTATTTTGTGCGTACCTTATTGTGAGTTAATAAAATAAACAAAACAAAATAAAACAATAGAGAAAACTCTTCGACAAAATACAGATGCATTAATCGATAATAATAATAATATTATTAATTAAAAATAAAAAATAAAAAATAAAAAATAAAAAATTTTTTTTTAAACTATACAAATAACGATTTGAGAAATGTAACAAGAGACATGTTGAAAAAGTGCAAGCAGAAGAAAATTATATGATGTTATGAACGTGCGTTCAACCACGACATTTTTCGTTGTTGCCACTTTTGATTATATTTTACCGTAACGAGTATATGTTTATAAATATTTGAATTATTTATTGATGAGGTTTTTTTTAAATTGAAAAAAAAAAGGGAAAAAATGAGCGGGATACGAAAGTTTATGATGAGAACCGTTTTGGTAAAGGATAACGAAGTTGAATCCGCATTGCGAGTACTTAATTCGATTTTAGGTAAAGAAGGTATAATAGATGATCACAGGAGGATACAAAGATATGAAAAACCATGGCAGGTTCGTTGGTTTCATTTCACAAAAGGAAAAAAAAAAAGAGGAAATGATAAGTTGAAAAGTGAAGAAATTTTAAAAAAAACTTGTTTTCTTATATTTTAGACGAGGAGAAGAATCAATTATGAAAAAATGAAAGCACTTTACTCTGAAGAAATGAGTAGGAAAATTAATTTTCTAATGAGGAAAAATAGAACAAATCCATATCCTGGATGTTAATAAATTTATATTAAAAAAAAAAAAACAATAGGAAAATATAATTTAAGTAGTTTAATTTAACATTTATTTTATTATTAATTGTTATGTTTTTAAACCGAAATATTTTGTCGCAATTGAAAATTATAGAATTGGTATTGAGTGAATATCGATACAATCGATTGGTTATTGATTCTCATTTATTTCGAGATTTAAAATGATGTTTGATGTGTATGTATTGTGAATTATAGATTGCATATTACTTGTTTATGTGCAAAAAATAATGTTGTCTTTCGAAAAAAGGAGGGTTTAAAGTTTTGGATTTTGTTTATTGGGTATAATTTTATCGATCTCATCTTTGAGTGAATGTTGTGTCTTTTTGGGTTTGTGTTTATAACATTTACAAAATTGTTAATTTCAATTAAGAGTTTGTTTAAATTATGTAATGTAACCTCATTATTGATTTTTAAAATCATTCGATTACATCTATACATTATTTTTTAAAAAATTGTTTTCTGATTAATCGATTTGATTTTTCATATGATCAAATAATTAAAAAGAGATGTAATAAGTGAGTTTTTAATTGATAATCCAATGAGGAGGTATTATTATTATTATTATTGATCATCGATGAAGTGAAAAAGTTATAATGATGATCATGATGAATTCAGGTACAGAGATTTGGAATGGGTCGTTTCACACACAAAAAAAACATGAAAGTTGTTGGGGGATTGAAAGTGGAGTAATGATGATGATAATAATAATAATGTTGAGAAATGAATGAAAGAAAAAAAAAACGGTAAAACTAGTATGCAAATAAAATTTTTCCGGGTTCGGAGATTATAATTAAAAATGGGAAAGAAGAAAATTATCAAATCCTTTTTCTTTCAATGATGGGAAGAGACGTTTTATTTTTTTGTAAAAAGAGGAAAAGATTTTCATTTCATTGTTAAGGAGAGACAGACGAGTTAAGATAAGACGGCGTAACGACTAAAGCTATGTTAATAATAATAATAATAATAATAATAATAATAATAAATAATCATTGTTATTATCGTAATAGTAGTAGTTAGTCGTAGTCTTTTTGATAGTCATTGTTTTTAAGACGTTGCGAGATTATTTTTAATGGATCATAATAATAATTTTAAGTGTCGTCGTCATCGTCGTCGTCGTCGTCGTCGGAAAAGTCGTTGTAAAAAAAAAAAAAAAAAAAAAAAAAATTTTTTTCGTCTTTAAAGCAAATTTTTTATATATTTAAATAGTTTATTAAATATGCACGTTAGATATAAGGTCGAGTAATTATTATTATTTTTTTTTATCACTCGTTAAAAAAATTATTACTCATAAATTATAGCAA